GTGACCGCTCACCAAGGCCCTCGGTGCAGGAGTTCAGGGCGCAGGGAGGAGGGAGGGGCGCAGGGAGGAGGGGCGCAGCAACAGGACAGCACTGAGAGGTTCCCCTGAAGACTAAGGGGCAGGAGACCCCACAACCTGCACTTGGGGGAAACGCCAAGATGACCGATGGCTGGAACACAAACCCAGCCGAGGGAGGGGGTGTTTGCTGGGGGGGACTCCTGGGGTGACCAGTGGTGGGCAGCTGCCCCAGCAGCCTCCTGACAGCTGTGCCTGCGGCGCCTTGGGATCCATCCATCCACACCGCACTGTGCCCCCCCCCAACCAGCTCACAGGTCCTATGGCAACCTCACCGCCGACTTAAAAAGGAAAATAATAATTCAGCCTCTTGACATAACCCTTCTGAACAAAAGGGCTTTTTTTTCTTCTGCTCATAAAAGAAGGGAATTTCCTCATCTGGTTTTTAGACCAAACACTAGTAGTCTTCGGGGGTTACATTGGGGGAGGGGGGGCAGGTCAGTTGGTGTCCATGCTGCAGGCCGCCTCCTCCCCCAGGCCCTGCTGGGAGCTGCTGGGTCGCGCTCCTCCATCGGAGGAGCCAGGAAAGCCGGCGAGGGAAGGCGGCGTATGAAACTCATCGTCTCGACGTTGGTAAAACAGCACGTAAGCTGCTTTTGTCTAAAACACGAGAGGGGAGACGTCCATTACTGGCTGGAAAGTCACCCGTTCTGCCCAGTTTCTCTGTCTCACTGTTGAGCTCGCACTCGGGGATCTGCCATGCTGTCACTCATCTTTGTTATAAATACATGAGTATCTCTGTGCATAAAGCTTTCCCCAATGTCATTTCCTGAGGACAGATTCCCAGAGATGGGATCACCAATTAGGGAACGTGGAAATCACGGGGAAGCAGGCACTGTGGCTCACTCACCACTATCTGATCCTCGGAGGCCAGGGACACGTTGCTGTCGTCAAAGTAATACCATTTCCCGTTCAGTTTGTTTTTCGCGTGCGCAGTGTCTGCCAAGCCAAAAGGAAATGCTCTAGCCGCCACCAGAGAGCTGACCGGGCCAGCGGACCAGGCTTGCACTAAACAAGACTCCAAACAATGAGAAATACAGACCCTGACACTAGAAGTAATTTACAGCTTGTGTCTTAACAGCCAAAAATTACTCATTTCCGTTGTAAAAAAACTCAAAAGGGCTTGAAGAGGATAAAAATGGAGCTGTCAAGAACCAACGCTTTAATTTTGGGAGACAATTTTTAAAAAGGGTGAACCCCTGTCCATGCCCAGGATGTCTACTGCTGCCCTCTGCCTCTGAAGCCTGTGGGCAGACCCGGGGAGGGACACTGTGGGCATCTGGGGTGTTGGCAGAGCTTGGATGTGGACAGACTTCAACCCATCTTTCTCGACAGCTGTGAGTCAAGAGCCCGTGGCTGGGTAATAGCTCCTCACAGTGATCCAGCAGCCCCCACAGGCAACACTTCCTGTCTTGATTTTGTGCTATTTCTAAGCAGGAGGTGTTTACAACAGCAATGCCAACAGCCATGCCCAATTCCTGCTCCACCCAGGCTCCCAGAAATGACAGTGCTGAAATGGAACTGGCGCCTCCATGGCGTCATCTCCTGGGGTCCCCACTGGCTGTGGTGGCAGGAAAGGGGTAGGGAGAAACACAGCTCCTCACCTCCCCATTACAAACACCTTTCCATAAACAGGTAGAAAATGGACCAGCTCTTTTCGTTAAAAATGCAAACCCACAAACACAGAAGTTTTGGGGAAACACCGCAGAGCAAGGAGGAAAAAGTAAAATTAGCATCTTGGTGTGTCTCCTCCGAGGCTTCTCCAACCCGTTTCCTTGCCTTTGGTTTTTTCTTTTTTTAAAATATTTTATTGATTTTTTACAGAGAGGAAGGGAGAGGGATAGAGAGTTGAAACATCAATGAGAGAGGAACATTGATCAGTTGCCTCCTGCACACCCCCCACTGGGGATGTGCCCGCAACCCAGGTACATGCCCCTGACCGGAATCGAACCCGGGACCCTTCAGTCCGCAGGCCGACGCTCTATCCACTGAGCCAAACCAGTCAGGGCTGCCTTTGGTTTTCACAGAGTTGTGACACCACCTTCCCTAAGGATGGATTCTGTGGTCTCACAGCCTGTCACGGCATCTCCCTTCACTGTGTGGTGCGATGGACAGCGTGCCAGCTCCTGAGCGCCATGCTGTCACTGGTTCTTCGCGGTTATAAATACCGGAGGCCTTCCCCCAGCTGCCGGCACCGGCTTCCCTCTGGCACCCGGGACCCGGGCTTCCTTCGTAGCCCGGCTTTGTCCAGAAGGACGTCAGTCGAATTAGCATATTACACTTTTATTATTATAGATGAGTATCTTTGTGCATAAAGCTTTCCCCAATATCATTTCCTTAGGACAGGTTCCCAGAGATGGGATTATTGGATTAAAATATGAAAATCAGCCTGGCACGGTGGCTCAGTGGTTGAGCGTTGACCTATAAACCAGGTCAGGGTTCGATTCCCGGTCAGGGCACAGGCCTGGGTTGTGGGCTCGATCCCCAGTGTGGGGCGTGCAGGAGGCAGCCGATCAATAATTCTCTCTTATCATTGATGTTTCTCTCTCTCTCCCTCTCTCTTCCTCTCTGAAGTCAATAAAAATATTTTAAAAAAGAATATGAAAACCAAAAAAATTTTGCAAATGAAGGGGCAACAGTATGGAAAAGGCCTGCGGCCCATGGAGCTGTGGAACACAAGTGCTCAAAGGCCATGCCTGGCAGCAGGAAGGGGCTCGAGAGGGCCGACGGGCAGAGGGCATTGGGCGAGGTTAGAGGGAACGGATGCCGGTACTTACAGTGGCCAACCCCCATGGCTCCATAATGATTGGACACGGCAATGAGGTCATACACGTACGGCCTTGCCGACGGGTCACAGACAAACTCGGACATGTTCAGACCTCTAAGCACAAAACAAAAACAGCCTTAACGACATTAAACTCAGAGCAAGTCGGGGTGACCCAGCAACCCCCTTATGCTGCGGACTAGACCCGAGGGAGGCGCTCCAACACCCGCTGCAGAGGGATGAACACGCAGACAGGCCTGGCTGTTCTGACCGCTGACCTGCTCAGGCTGCAAAAGAGACGCTTCCCGGGAGCCCCAAACCCAAACCGAACGGCGAGGCAGCTCTCGCACAGACCAGGCGTCAGGGCTATGCAGAGATGGCCGTCACTCTCGAAACTACCAGCGGAGCCTTAAACGTTGAAGGTAAACCAGAATGGGCCCCAGAAAGCTTTATCCCATCCCGTATTTTATTTTGGAAATGTCAAACATACAGAAAAATTAATTTTTTCCCAACAAATATTGAATGCTCACCACCTAAGTTCTTCCACTGACGCCTTTATGTGGGCAAATACACGTCTCTGTCCACCCGCCCCGACCCCCAAAGCATTTTAAAAACTGCCTCTTGTGGTGGAACCCTATCTTGTTGTCTTACTTTCCTGTGTCGGTCTCACTCTGGACTCTGGGACCTGAGAGGACCCGAGGAGACAGCCAGTGCCCCTCCCTAGCCTGGGACAGGAGCGTGGTGGGTCTGCGATCCCACCTGCAGCCCCAATAATCCCATTCGCCCTGTGGGACGAGGGGGAGGGCAATAGCTGAAGTCTAACCTCCCAGAGCCCAGCCACACACCCCCTCCTGCAGCCAAGTCTTTGATGGCAAACCCTCTGCCCATCGGTGCCCAGCTCTCCTCCTGTTTAACGTCCCAGTGACAGAGTCCCGGGACCCACCTGACCGGGAACTCCACGACCGTGTCGAGCTTGTCCCTCCAGTACCGGCTGTAGGAGAAACGTTTGAGGTGCACCACCAGGATCTTGGGCAAGGACCACAGGTCAAACTTCTTCGTGGCCTGTTGATGCCTCTTACAGTTGGGACAGTACCTGAAGGGAAAAGGGAAACCTCCATTGCGGGGAGGCAGGGAGCGAGGCCCCGGGGCGCCGCCTGGAGGCATCGCACAGCCCACACCCCTTCCTGCCCGCAGCAAGCGGCTCTAAGTCACCTTCCCAAACGGGGGGCTTTCTCAGTCTGGAAAACACAACCCGCAGGGAAAGGTCTGTGTCGCTGGGTCGGCGACGTCAGTGACGTGCACATGTGAAGGGCTGTGTGGATGCCGCTGGCCCCACGGCGCCAGACGCCGGGCGGGGTCCTACCAGGGGTCGTGCTCCCCAAGCGTCTCCATGGTGGTGAAGAGCTCGATGCAGTCCCGCAGGGCCATGGCCGTCTTCTTCTTTTTCTGAGGCTGCAGCATGCTCACGTGCTTCTCGAAGGCCTGTGGGAACAAGCGAGTTCTGCGGGGAGACGAGACCTCCCGGCAGCTGCGGCCTCACAAGCCGTCATGGAGCCTCGCTGGTGCTGTCACTCGGCCCAAAGCAGAAGCTGCTGCGGAGCTGACAGACCCCCACGCCCAGCCAGAGCAGACCCTGCACCGCCGCCCAGGCCCCGACGGGCCTACCTCAGACTCCTGCTCATCGTAATACAGGCTCCGGGTCTCCGTGTCCCAGTCGATGGCCAGGGTGGACCGAGCTGTGGGGGACCCAAGTGTCACTCGTGAGTGAAGGGCCAACAATGGGGGGAGCTCTTCAGGTCACACGCAGGCTGCGCACCAGCACTGGCCGCCATCACCAGCCACTGCCAGGAGCAATGCTCTGCCCTCAGCCAGCCAACTCCGAACCCCTGGCCCCACATCCTTCGGCAAAGATCTCCTCACGGCACAAACAAGCTCCACGGCTGCTAACCACATGGGGTTTGAAAGAATGGAGCAACAGCGGCTGGATTTGCCCTCCGGCCTTAAACCGTAAGAAAACCTGACCAGGTAAGACTGACACACCTACTTCAGACCCGGGACACGGGCCGAGAAAGCCTGCCACCCAGTGGCCCGCCTCCTGCCCGAAGGCGTTTTCCAGGCCCCAGCGTGGGGGTGGAGTGGGGGGGAGATTGCGCTGAGGAGTCAGACTGGAGTTCCAGAAAATCGCTAGAAATTGCAAGACAATTTCCAAAAGGAGAAAGCTGCCCAGAGAGAGGGAGCTGCAGAGTGAGAACGAGCTCAAGAAGATCTCAATGAAACTGTTAAAGATTTTTAAAGAAGGACAGCAAAGGAGAATGGCTGGCGAGCTAAAGGACCCAGTGCCTCCTCCTCCGGGGAGGAGGCTGAGGACAGAGCAGCTGCGCAGCTGCCCTCCGGCCCGTGCAGGCGTCCCGTCCCTGTGCTGTCACATCCGACGCACATCCGTGTGGACCCTCTTTCGGTCCGAGGGCAGGCCCCACAGAACAGAGAGCCGACAAAACCCAGGACCATCCCCGAGCTGGGTCCCAGCCATGAGCATCCTTAAGGAGCCAAAGAGAAATGCATCATTTGCCCAAGTGAGCCATGTCCGGGAAATGCTGCCACCAGGAGCATGGGCTGGGAAG